ATACCAAGGGTGGCAGGTTCCAACCCAGCCCCAACCAAACTGCAACAAAAAATAGCCAGGCATTGTGGTGGGCACCTGTAGTCCCAGCTACTCAGGAGGCTGAGGCTGAGCTCTCCACGCCCAAGAGCTGGAGGTGATGCCACAGAACTCTGCTGAGGGTGACAAAGTGAGATTCAGTCTCTAAAAAAAATATATAGCAATTCAATAATGCATCAAGGCCAGGAGCGGTGGCTCACACCTGTAATCCTAGCACTCTGGGAGGCCAAGGCCGGTGGATCGCCTAAGCTCAGGAGTTCAGACCAGCCTGAGCTAGACCTCATCTCTAAAAATAGCCCAACGCTGTGGCAGGCACCTATAGTCCCAGCTACTTGGGAGGCTGAGGCAGAAATGCTTGAGCCCAAGAGTCTAAGGTCTCTGTGACCTATGATGCCACGGCATTCTACCAAGGGCGACAAAGTGAGACTGCCTCAAACAAAACAAACAAACAAAAAAAAACCTAGGTGTGGTGATGGGCACCTATAGTCCTGGCTATTCAGAGAGCTGAGGCAGGAGGATCACTTAAGCCCAGGAGTTAAAGGCTGCAATGAGCTGTAATCACACCATTATACTCCAGCTTGAATGACAGAGCAAGACTTTGTCTCAAAGAAAAGGAAGGCCATGCCTGTGTAGGGCACTGGCCCCATATGCTGGAGATGGCAGGTTCAAACCTGCCCTGGCCAAAAACTGCAAAAAAAAAAAGAAATCGAATCTCAAAATAGCTGGGCGTATGGCAGGTACCTATAGCCCCAGCTACTTGGGAGGTTTAGGGAGGAGGATTCACTGAGGCAGACTGCCTGGATTCACCGAGCCTTTCTGTGCCTGTTTTCCTGAACTATGCACAGGATGGTTCTGCCTCAGTGTGCCTAAGATCAGGGAACACCTGCTAACGCTAACGCAGTGCCCAGGCAGGGGAGGGGGACTCCTGTGGCAGTGAATCCAGGCATCTGCCTCAGTGAATCCACGGCATTCACCCCCTAAGCTGGTGGGGAGCCAAGGCAGGTCAACCATAACATGCCTAACAAAGCAATTTTCCACACACTGACCTCACTGAACTCTCATCAGTGAGGGACTGGCTTTATTAGCCCCATCGAACAGATGAAGAAATTTGGAGCACAAAAAGTCACAAGACTTGCCCAAGAGCCTACGTGGTAGTCCCAGGTCAAAAACCTGGTCTGGCCAGGTATGGTGGCTCACACCTATAATCGCAGCATCTGGGGAGACAAAGGCAGGAGAATTGCTTGGGACCAGGAGTTCACAGCCTAGGCAACATGACATGACCCTGTCTCAAAAAATAACAATTCCAGGCAGCGCCTATGGCTTAGTGAGTAGGGCGCCAGCCCCATATACCGAGGATGGCGGGTTCAAACCCGACCCCAGCCGAACTGCAACAAAAAAATAGCCGGGACTCGGCGCCTATAGCTCAACCGGCTAAGGCGCCAGCCACGTACACCTAAGGTGGCGGGTTCGAATCCCCAGCCCGGACCCGCC